CAGTAAAGAAGGTGAAGCTTCAATCCCCACGAAAGCAATATGAGAACCTGAACATGAAGAGCAGTGAGAAAGTTTCTGAATATATCTCCAGAGTGATTCTGATCACTAACGAGATGAAGGCGTGTGGAGAAACTCTGACTGAACAGGTAATCATAGAGAAGATTCTGAGGTCGCTCACTCCTCAGTTTGATTACATTGTTGTTTCTATTGAACATTCTAAAAATCTGGAAACCATGAAAATAGAAGAATTACAAAGCAGCTTAGAAGCACAGGAGTTACGTCTGTCTGAGAGAACTTCTGAGAGAGAAGCTGAGCAAGCTCTGAAGGCTTCTTTTGTCAAGAAAGACCAGAAGAAGAATAGACGTGGTGATAGATTCCAGAAGTCAGAAGCCTCAACTTCTGATGATAAGAAGTATCATAAAGGAAAAGAGAGGTATGACAAAAGGAAGGTTCAATGTTACTCCTGTAAACAATTGGGCCATTTTGCCAGAGATTGTAGGTCAAACAGGGATAGGAAATCAGAAGAAGCATATATGGCTAAGAGAAACTCTGATGATGAACCTGTACTGCTAATGGCCTCTGACTCTGATGGAAAATGCTCAGAAGATTGGTGGTATATGGACACTGGCTGCTCAAATCATTTAACTGGAAACAAACAATGGCTGACAGACTTTGACTCCAGAAAGAGTACAAAGATCAGATGTGCTGACGATAAGTATCTTAATGCAGAAGGTATGGGAGATGTCAGAATTAGAGTGAAGAATGGGAAAGATATTCTGATCAAAGACGTCTGGTATGTTCCTGGTATTAGAAGCAATCTGATGAGCGTAGGTCAGCTGATTGAGAAAGGTTTTTCAGTTGTTATGAAAAACAATCTTCTGACGTTGTATATTCCAATCAGAAGTTAATTATGAAATCTGAACAAGGAGGCAATAGAACATTCAAGGTGAATGTAGAAACAACTGAAGCAACGTGCCTTAGTGCAGAAGGTGCTGAAAGTAACAGTAAGCTGTGGCATAAGAGATTAGGGCACTTAAACTATAGAAGCTTAGGGCATATATGTTCTAAGAAGCTCGTACGTGGTATTTCGAAAATTGTGAAGCCTGAGAAGTCATGTGAGATATGCATGAAAGGTAAGCAACCTAGATTGCCATTTACATCAGAAGTAGCCCCCAGAGCGAAACATGCTCTGGGAGTAGTACATTCTGATGTGTGTGGACCATTTCCAGTACCTTCACTTGGAGGAAACAATTATTTTGTGTCTTTTGTGGATGAGTTCACAAGAATGACATGGGTAACACTTATCAAGTTCAAGCATGAAGTGTTTACTGAGTTCCAGAAATTCAAGGTGAAAGCTGAGAAGCAGAGTGGTCAAAAGTTAAAAATTCTGAGAACAGATGGTGGAGGTGAGTATAACTCTACAGTGTTTCAGAAGTTTTGTGAGGAAAGTGGAATAGAACATGAGGTTACTGCTCCATATACTCCTCAGCACAACGGTCTTGCTGAAAGAAGAAACATAACTCTGCTTGATATGACCAGAAGTATGCTGAAAGAGAAAAAGCTACCTCACGTGCTATGGGGAGAAGCTGTTGCCACATCAGCATACATTCTGAACAGGTGTCCAATGAAGAAACTGAAGAAAGTTGTTCCTTTAGAGAAATGGACTGGAGATAAGCAGAGTGTCAGTCATCTGAAGGTGTTTGGCTCTGTCTGTTACAAACACGTTCCAGAAGCTAGAAGACAAAAATTAGATGATAGAAGCAAAATAATGTTGTTGGTGGGGTACCACAGTACAGGTGCGTATAAGCTTTATTGTCTAGAAACTAATAAAGTTGAAGTCAGCAGAGACGTTGTGGTGAAAGAGTCTGAAGCATGGGATTAGAACAAATCTCAATCTGATTCTGGTGTAGTGCCAACACCAGAGTTATCCTCTGAAGATGTTTTAGAAAGATCAGAAAATGAATCTGATTCTGAAGATCCTGAAGATTCTGAAGAAGAGTTAGAAGAAGATGATCCAGATACTGATGATGATCCAGAATCTGGTGGTAATCATAGTTCTGGAAGGGAAAACTCTGAAGGTGGTAACTCTGAAAGCAGTAGTTCTGGTGCAGCTTCAGAACAAGCTCAAAGACCACAGAGAATCAGACAAAAACCCAGAAGGTTTGCAGATTTTGACATGCTGCAGGATAATGATGTTGACTCTGAATGAGAAGTCGTTCAGTGTGCCATGTTAGTAGATTCTGAACCAGTGGGCATTGAAGAAGCTCTCAAGAAGAAAGAATGGCTTAATGCCATGAAAGAAGAACTTGAGGCAATAGAAAGGAACAAAACTTGGAAATTGACTAAACTTCCAGATAAGAAAAAAGTCATCAGCGTCAGATGGGTTTTTAAGTTGAAACTTAAGCCAGATGATTCCATTGGCAAACACAAAGCTAGACTAGTAGCTAGAGGTTTTCTTCAGAAACCTGGGCTAGATTATTTTGAGGTGTTTGCACCTGTAGCTAGGCATGAAACAATCAGACTGGTGATTGCTTTAGCTGCAAACAGAAACTGGCCTTTAATGCACCTGGATGTGAAGTCAGCATTTCTGAACGGTCCATTACAGGAAGAAGTTTACGTGTTACAACCTTCTGGATTTGTAAAAAAGAATCAGTAAGGGATGGTATACAGGTTAAATAAGGCTCTGTATGGACTGAAGCAAGCGCCTAGAGCTTGGAATCTGAAAATTGATTCATTTTTCAAGAAGCAGAGGTTTCAGAAGTGTGAGATGGAATATGGAGTTTATGTACAACACTCTGATAGCAATCTGATTCTGGTGTGTCTCTATGTTGATGACATCTTGCTAACAGGTAGCTGTCCAGAAGATATAAAGAAGTTCTGATGAATGAGTTCGAGATGACAGATCTAGGAAAAATGACATATTTCCTAGGAATGGAGATTATGTACTCGAAGAAGTGTATCATTCTGCACCAGTTAAAATATGAACAAGAACTTCTGAAGAGATTTAAGCTGCAGAACTGCAAAGTTGCCGTGACACCATCAGAAACCAATCAAAAATTGGATTCTGACTCTGATGGTGATTCTGTTGATTCTACAACCTTCAAACAACTGGTTGGCTCTCTAAGGTATTTATGTAATACTAGACCTGACATTTGTTATGCAGTTGGATTGGTCAGCAGATTCATGAGTAATCCCAAGTGGTCTCATTTCCAAGCTGTTGTCAGAATTCTGAGATATATTAAGGGAACTCTGAAATATGGAGTGTTGTTTCCTTCTGAAAGAAAGACAAAGTCAGAATTAGTAAGTTATTCTGATTCTGACTGGTGCGGAGACAGAGTGGATAGGAGAAGTACCTCTGGATACTTGTTTAAATTTCTGGGAGGTCCCATTTCCTGGAGTTCCAAGAAACAGCCTGTTGTAGCTCTGTCAACATGTGAAGCTGAGTATATCGCAGGTGCTGTAGCTGCTTGTCAAGCAGTTTGGCTTCTGAATCTCCTGCATGATTTAAAGGTTGAGGTTGAGGAACCTCTGAAGCTGATGATTGATAATAAGTCTGCAATTGATCTTGCCAAGAATCCAGTGCTACATGGAAGAAGCAAGCACATTGAGACGAAGTATCACTTTCTCAGAAATCAAGTTCGGAAAGGAGTGTTAGAAGTTCTGCACTGTAGCACTCAGAAACAGCTTGCAGATGTTCTGACGAAGACAGTTAAAACAGATCAATTTCTTTGCTTAAGAGATGAAATTGGTGTTGTTAGCTTCTGATAGATTATCTAAATTAAGGGATGCTATTGGAAATGTAATTTATTTAATGTCCACAATTCTCAATACTTACTCTTTATTAGGGTCTTTTAACATTTTCAATTTCTAGTATAAATATGCTACCTAGACTATCAATATTGTATCCCAAATTCATTCCTCTATTTGAATATTAAGAAATAGTCCTCTTTGTTATCATTCATTGTTCATTCTTTATCTCTCCTTCCATTACCTTGCACCAACATACTCGACTATGAAAGTATATATCTCATATACTACTAATATTCATGACATTAATAACAAAAATGCTAGGTTGACACTACTTATGTATAATCCTTTTTACATGTACTTCCATTTTTTAAAATAACTTTCCCCTTTCTTTAGTATTTGTGCCAGTTAAAATATTTTGAAAATTGTTACGGTGTAGATATTGTGTAGAAGTTATTTGATCTGCTTTTACACACTCAACCTATGAGGAGCGTATATTATATCAAATCACATGTTTAATTTTAAATATTAACTTAATATAATTGAATATAGTAATAATATTATAAAATTATTTTATAACAAAAATATCATACCTTTAATCTTATTACTAACATAATGATGGAATTTTGTTTTTTACAAAAAAAATTTTTTTCTGTTTTAAAATAAATGTTATTTTAACAATTTCTTCCATTTTAAGTTTATTTTTTTTTATATTTATTTAAAATATTAATATGATATTTATTATTTTTTTACAACTATATTTATATTTATTAGTTTTCAGGTTTTTTAATTACTATACTAATTAATATAATAAATAAAAATATTTTAATAAATATATTAATTTTATCATTAAAATCAACACATCTAACCATTTTATTAAGAACAGTTCGAAAAAAGTATTAAAATTTATTTTAAAATAAATGTCATTTTAACTTTAATTACTATTTTTTCAATTATATATTATAATAATTATATTTTAAATTACTTCCAATATATTAAAATAATTTAATAAAATTGCAATATTCTACTATAATATTATTATATTCTTTAATGTGTCTACACATTCATTTAATTCTTTTGAAGTAGAAGAAACCATTAACACGTGCAAGAAACCTTATATACACGACCCACACCGATCAAGATCAAATCAAAACTCTAGGCAAGTTTCTTTCACACTCATCAACAACAACAAGAACAAAAAATCGAGAATCACGTCAACAATAACAACAACAACAATCGAAATTCACGAAATCATGGAGCCAAATTCCGACGCAGGTGAACGAATGGCAAGAATCGCCGGCCACCTCAACCCTCCCGATCTCCCGGTTCGTTTTCACCATCTCTTTCCTTGCATTACAAACCAATTAGATCAATATCATCACTATTAGATTCATCATGTATTATGAATGTGTACTGTGTTATCTCAACAGATGAATGAACATGGTTCTTCCTCTTTGACGAGTTTCCATTGCCGTGCCAAAGGTGGCGCACCTGGATTCAAAGTTGCAATTTTGGGTGCTGCTGGTGGAATAGGACAGCCTCTTTCTATGTTGATGAAGATGAATCCGTTCGTTTCAGTTCTTCATCTTTACGATGTTGTTAATACCCCTGGTGTTACTTCTGATATCAGTCACATGGATACTTCTGCTGTTGTATGTTCCTAACTCAGAGTTTATTTCATGAATTTCATATCAATTAATAAACTTGCTCATTTCATTAGCTAAAATATGTTGTTTCCATAAGCTATCTCAAATAGCATCACAAGTGCTTGTGTTATTAGATAAGATCCAAATATGCTCTAAATCTAAAACGTGTGTCTCATCATTTCATATATGCTATTAGTTGTTTTCATAACCTATTCTAGAGAGCTTCTAAAAATAAGTTGAAAACCCTTATAGACATGTTATGACTTGTTTTCATAAGTTCTCTCAAACAGTTTCACAAGCGTTTATGTCGGTAGATAAACTCAAATAAATCAATTCAAACATGTTCTGAATCTGAAGCATGTCTAATCATATAAAATGTTTAGGTTTGTAAAATTAAATTGTTGTTTTTTATGTTAACATGACTAGGAAGGTTTTGATGTTTAGGTTCGAGGATTTTTGGGGCAAAATCAGCTTGAGGATGCACTTACAGGTATGGATTTGGTAATCATTCCTGCTGGTGTTCCCCGTAAACCTGGAATGACTAGAGACGATCTCTTCAATATAAATGCCGGGATTGTTAAAACACTCTGTGAAGGAATTGCGAAGCGATGTCCGAAGGCGATTGTCAACTTGATAAGCAATCCCGTTAATTCCACTGTCCCTATTGCGGCTGAAGTTTTCAAAAGAGCCGGTACTTATGACCCCAAGAGACTTTTGGGAGTCACAATGCTTGATGTTGTTAGGGCCAATACGTTTGTGGTATGTATTTTTTACTAAATTGCTTATGTATGGTTCCGTGGCGAAGATTAAATCATCTCATTTGAAAACCGTTTCACTTGATACACTTCCTCCTGCACACATCGAGTGATCTGCTGTTATTGAAGCTAATGTCGACAGTAGAATTACTTCATTTATTTTCCCTGTTGGGCGTAAAACGCAGGCTGAAGTTATGGGTCTTGATCCAAGGGATGTGGATGTTCCTGTTGTGGGGGGACACGCCGGAGTCACAATTTTGCCTCTTCTTTCTCAGGTCTGCACTACAACTATTTCTAATTCTTATTTGCTACATTTGATTTCAAATACATCAAACTGTAATACTCTAAAATCTAACCTAACACTGTCACTGTTATTTCAGGTTAAACCACCTTCCTCTTTCACCACAAAGGAAATTGAGTACTTGACAGATCGCATACAAAACGGTGGAACTGAAGTTGTTGAGGTAAAATTTACGCAAAGGAAATTGTGCTATATATGATTTCATACTTGCTATGTATTATCTATTTATTGGAATTTTAATTTGCGTAATGTTGTAATTTTCTCTAGGCCAAAGCTGGAGCTGGGTCTGCAACACTATCAATGGTTAGTATTTTATTTTGTATCGATAGGGAAATGAGAGCATATTTCTCATAAAAAGAACTAATATGGACCATACAATACAATCATAAATGTTTGTGCTTATACTTTAGAAAAACAACCTCGGTCATCCATATGGCTTAAGATAAGTTCGTTCTAGTCGCTTATTTTTTCTGAAATTTCATTTTTGTTTTGTTGTCTTTGTATAATTTGCATGACTTCTTAACAATGCTATGTGTAAATTGCAGGCATATGCCGCTGTTAAATTTGCAGATGCGTGTCTTCGTGCGTTAAAAGGAGAGGCTGGAATCATTCAATGTGCATATGTTGATTCACAGGTAGGAATTCAAAACCTGCTTTCCATTATGATAATCTTAAATCCTCTTCCCTATCATAATCTTAAAAACCTTTTTTTCTGTTATAGGTGACCGAGCTCCCATTCTTTGCATCAAAAGTACGACTTGGCCGTGACGGAGTCGAGGAATTTCTTCCTCTAGGTCCCTTAAGTGATTATGAGAGGTATGCAGTAACAGTTGTCATTTGAACCAACTAGTTTCCTAACTGAAACATTAAACTTATATCTAGTTTATATTTCGATAGGGCGAGTTTAGAAAAGGCGAAGAAAGAGTTGGCAACAAGCGTGGAGAAAGGCATTTCTTTCATCAGAAAATGAGTTGATAGCATATCCTGAAAATAAGTGGTGGAATTGAGCCATGTCAGTTGTGAGATCAAAATTTTCAAATTAGTTATGTGGTAGTAATAATCATTCTTATTACAATAAAAGTGTGTGTTTGATTTAAATTCATAGATTTTGTTTTATTTTTTTTGACAATATAGATCTTTAATTTTTAAAATTTGTGAAGTATAAGCGTGCCCATTTGAGCTTTGATTAAAAGAAATATTCAGGTGCTAACACGTATATCAATTTTCTCCTTATTTTTACGAGTATTGCCTGCAACTGCAACTCCCGCTTTGAACATATTCGGTTTGTAAATGAAGTTGTAAATGTACTAAAAAATATTAAGAATCCATCAACACACAGGAAGAGAATAGGTGAAAAAATATATAAGTTAGTACGAACAATGTTTAATAGTAAGTCACATATTTATGTTCTCTGTGTATATATTAAAATTAAGATTAATATTAAGATAGATTCAGATCAAGGTTAATATTGCAATGAAAAAGATTAAGATTGATCAAAGCTTCTCTCTCTCAAACGCTTTTCTTTCCTCTGCCTCCTCTCTTCTCTCCAAATCCAAAATGCCATTTCATTATGTTTCAGGCGTTGTTCACGGTTACTTGGCAAGGCTTAGTCCAACAATGATGGATTTCTCTCCTTTCTGTTCTGTTGTTTCTTGCCTTTTTTTTTTCTTCTCGCCTCCACCGGTGTCATTTTTTGTTGTCGGTGGTCCTTTCATTGTACAACGAACAATGTCGTCAGATTCAAGGTACGTGTGGAAGAATATTGTGGTTCTGGTTTATTGATTTGGATTTGTTTCTAACCTGTTTCTTTGATTCATGTTATTTTTATAAGCTCTTCGAACACTTAATTAAGAATTGAGAAGGGTTAATAATTTCTATCATCTTCGATTTCAGTGTTATGATCGGTTTGATTAGAAATGATCGTGATTCTTTGTTGTAGTTTCTTAGTGAATTGTTGGTAAATAAATTTGTTACATGTTGACGGTCGAGTTTATTTGATGTATTCAAAATTTGAATTTATTCGATTCACATTTCACTTCTTTTTTTTTCCAATTTAATTACGCACTCCTACATTAATTAAATGGATTGTGCACGTGGGGGAGTGAGTGTCAAATTCATATTTTCTTTAATGTTTTGTTTAATTTATTTTAGCCTCTGTCTCACGTGTATTTTGTTGAGAATTTTGTTGAGAATGTAAGTATTTGTATCGAAGTAAGTTATTTCGACAAAGTTGATGTCGAAATTGTTTTGTGTGTCGAAATTGTATAGTTGTCGAAATGTCGAAGGAGTTAGTCTCGACAAGAATTTTGAGTTAACCTTATTTTGTAATTTTAGCTTAATTAGGTTGGTTGGAGTTTGCTTAGTAAGTAAGCAAACTCAACCTATAAATAAGGAGTAACCTATATTATTGTAATACACTAATGCAATTGCATAATTGAGAATAAACTCCAGTTTAAAGACAGAGAGAAACTCTACAAAAATATTGTCCTCTTCTTCCTCTTTCGTTAAAACCCTAACTCATTTTTCTTTCCAATTCAATTCTTTCTTCTCCCATAATCATTGATGTGCGAAATTATCTTGCAATCAAGGCGTGGTTGATTCACTAGAGTGAAGAGGCAAAATCGATTGAAAGATTGATTCTTGTTCATCAATATTGATTCAAAATTCTCTAAGATTGGGGTGTGTTCTAGACTGGGCCCGCCCTGGCCCAAAAGCAAGAACAAAAGCCCAATCCAAGCAGCTCCTCGAGGAACGCGTGCCCGCGGATTCCCACCAGCGCGCCCGACCACAGACTGCAGTCGTGCCCTCCGTTACACACGGTGTCCCCGACCACGGGAACTCCAGCTCGAGCCCCGCTCGAGCACTCTCCTCGTAGGGCAGATTATGTCCTCTTTGACCGTTATCAAATCATCTAAACTCCGGAAAGACCGCGTCTTCGTCCCTCCTCATTTCTCGCAGAGCATCACCAGGAAGGGGGCCACGAGCAGGTCCCCACTACACACGTAGAACCTGGCAGTTCCTTTATTGGGCCAATTCTGGTCGGCCCAATGAGGGGACCTTGGCCCCGCGCTGGGGGCTATAAATACCCTCTATTCCTAGAGGGTCAGGTATTCATCTCTTACGCATACATACACTTTTTGCCTACTCATTCCGTCACTCATTTTAGCATCGGAGTGCCTTGCAGGTACCCCCCCCCCCCCCCCATCTCACTCAAATTCTGCCCGAGCCAGTCGTGACGGTCCAAGTCTGATCAGGTAAGATCAGTGGTGCCGTTTGTGGGAAACTAGCTTCCCCGTCTTGCAAACTGTCGAAGACCAAAGCTCAAATTCACCCCCTACCGTCATGGCTGACCAAGTCCGGGACAAATAGAACATCCGCGTCGTCGACGTCAGCAACAACGTTGCAGATAAAAACTGAATTCTCGACAACGCCGGCAATCCCGGCCGTAGCACACTCCTTGGGGTCACCATCCCCGGGCCCTCAGTCCATCGCAACGGAGCTACTGCCTCGTCCTCTTTAGTCCCTCCGCCGCTCGAAGAAGACAACGCAGCTCCCCCAAACTATTTGGCTGCCCAATTTCAGGAAGTCCCTGTCCCTGCCGGGGCAGATGCCACAACCCGCGCACTGTTCGCGGCGATCAATCAAACTAACTACCTCATCTTTTCCCAGGGGGAAAGATTGAGGGCGCTGAAAGACGATAGAAGACCCGCGAGGAGACACAGGAGGCCTCAAACTCCACCTCCTCAAGCAACAGAGGTACATCTCCCATCTCCCTCGCGGAGATAATACAGAGACACCTCCCGAAGCCCGTCGCCCCGACCATCGGGGAGACGACCCCCCTTGGAGAGGCAACCCGTCATTGAAGCCGGAGGGCGCAACCATGGCCCCATACAACAAGAAAGAAGACACTCTGGGGACAGGCACGGAAGAATTGACCAACAAGCACCCCGCTCGAGGGATACCCAGCACGACCAGGACCGTCGGGCAGGACAATATCTCAGGTCCCCATCCCTGTCCCCGGAGCAAAGTGACGAGGATGACCCCCGCGGTCCCCTGTCACAAGCCATCATGGAAGCACCCATTCCCCTGGGCATGGAGAAACCTCCACATCTGAAGGAATACGATGGAGTCACGGACCCAGTCGACCACATAGACAGGTTCGAGGCTATGCTGCATTACCACAACGTCGGGGGACCCATCAAATGCCGGTTGTTTCCCACGACCCTCAGAAAGGCAGCAATGGATTGGTATAAAGGCCTCGCCCCGGGATCAATCACCTCGTGGCGAAACCTGAAGAATCAATTCATAAGTTCGTTCACCGCGTCTCGGCGACACCCGAAGACCGAGGCAGCGCTCGAGGCCATCATTCAGAGACAGGATGAAACCTTGAGAGAATTTATTAATCGCTTCAATCGCGAAGCCATACAGGTCCCCTGCGCGGACCACATGAAAAGATACTTGCTGGAAAGGGGGCTCCTCCCTGGCACGGAATTCAGAAAGGCAGTGGGCATCGAACCACCCCGAACATTCGATGCTCTCCTCGAGAAGGCCCGGGCATATATGGATTACGAGGAAAGGGAGGCAGCCAACAGAGCCCGGGACCCCAGAACTCGTGGATCCAGCAGCAACCCGCGCCAAGAAGCCGCTCCTCCCCGACGAACTGGGGAGAAAAGAAAAGAGGACAGACCCCGAGAAGTCCGCGAACAGAGAGGACCCTCGGGGCGCTTCACAGAATACACTCTGCTCACAGCTTCCCGCGAGCGCATCTTGGCGGAGTGTGCCAGCACGAACTTCAAAGACGGCAACGTCAAACGCCCCCGACCTGCTCCTGCCAAGCCCGGAGTAGACAAGAGCAAGTACTGTCAGTACCATAGGAGCCATGGTCATCTGAATGAAGACTGCGTCCACCTCAAGGACGCCATCGAAACCCTCATCAAAGGAGGGAGGCTCGCCCAATACCGACGAAACGACGCTCCTCGTCGCGACACCCGGGAGACAAGAGAACTGGAGGAAGACTCCCAACCATATGACGAATCGGTCCCCGTCCAGACCTCCTTCTCCGCCACCCGACCGGAGGACTTCTACGTCCCCGAACACCTGCAGGAGCCACTCACGACACACAACAGGTGGGAATACTTTCCCTCCGCCATGGTCATCAATGGTGGAGGATTCAACGACCTAACCATCAATTCAACCAAGAGAAAGTTGGATGAACTGGTCGACTCTGCTCCTCCTCAGACGGTGACTTTTGAAAGGGTGAAAGGTAGGTCGGAGCCTATCACCTTTTACCTCGAAGAGCTCCCCGGAGGAGCCCCCAACACAGTCATTCCTCTGCTGATAAGAGCAAGAATGGCCAACTTTGACGTGCACCGCATCCTCGTCGATGAAGGGAGTTCCGTCGACGTGATGTACAACCAATTATTCCGGACTCTGCAACTATACGACTCGCACCTCTCGCCGTATGTGGGGTCGGATTTACAGGGCTTCAATGGCTCGACCTCCAAACAGTGGGGATATGTCGAGCTCATGGTTACCTTCGGCGAGGGCACGACAACGAGACAAGTCAAGGTGCGCTTCCTCGTCATCGACTGCCCATCCCTCTACAACTGCATCCTAGGGAGACCGACACTAGCAGAGCTAACCGCGGTGCCCTCCACTGTCCACTTGAAGATGAAGTTCTACACCAAGAGGGCACAGGTGGCTACCATCCAGGGGGACCTAGCCGCTGCTCGAAGGTGTTTCAACGCCGCCTCCAAAGGACGCGACACTGTCGACACTGGGACAAGGCCCGCCAAGAGACCAGCGACTGTACGATAGGAGCCCGACAAATCAGAGCCCGCCAAAGTAGAAGACCAGAGAGCTCCCCCAAAGGTCGACTCCATAGCTCTGGATACCCGTTTCGATCAGGACGAACCTCCCAACGGAGAGCAAATCCCCCTCCGACCAATTCCGGACGGGGACTTCGAGCTC